AATGTGAAATACATACAGATTTCATTCTCCATTAGGTGAATCAGACTTCTGGTCCACTAGGGAATTAGGAATACATTCCTATTCCATACAGGCAAAATTAAATATAAGAAGACATATTTTAAAGTAGCCATGTTAAGCCCAGTCCAACAAATATTTTGGGACTCTCCTATAATTTGAGTCCTGAGATTGAATCTTCCAATATTAAACATTTCCACATTAGAACAATGGAAAGGCAAATACTGTAGTCATGCAATTAATAACCATATAAAGAAATTCAGATCTTCTTTTAAACATTGCCATTATAAGCTATAAATCCCAAAACTGTGAAATTAAAATAGAAGAATTTTAGGACTTGCCTTCTTCGGATATCTATTTTTGATACAAGTAGCATTTGAAATTATTTTCATCATTTTCTATGTAATGCTTTCATAGGGAAACCAAAGCATTTACGTATTAATTTTTTTTTAATCCTTTGGTGCAAGTGAAGCAGAAATTAACATGACTAGATTTGTCCTATAACAACTTCTTCAACTTTACTCTGTCTTATTGTGCCAAACCTTTTTCTTTTAATATCTGCAACATTGATTGGTGACAGAAACACTGATTGGTGCCAGAAACACTGATTTACAAATAGTGTTAATTTTCTTATCTGCAGTTGTAGGCAGCAAGGGAGCATAAATCACTGGGTTTCTTGCTCAAGAAGAACAAAACAACAACAAAAAAAACCCTCAATAACCAGCTTCTGCAGAAGTATTTCCAAGGTAACAACATAAAGAGTAGCTCATATTCAAAACCTGGGAAGGCCATAATGAATTTTATAATCAGTTAGGTCTCCATTGTGCAGAAACATGGTACAAGCTGGACAAGTGTGAGTTCTTTCTCACTATTCATAAATCTATTTGGTTTTAACTAAGTAATGGTAATGCTAACAGAAAATCAGCATAAAACGGCAACTCACTGAAAATTTCATTAAAAGATAATGTCCAAATCATTGCTTTGACCATGACTTACATGCTTACTCCACACCATCCTCCATGTTGGCAGTATTGGTCAAAGCTAGAGTACAACACATAATGAGATATTTTTTTCTCTGTTTTGGGAAGATACTACTATTATTATTATTTTTGAACTTTTTTGGCAGGGATACTAGGGATTGAACCCAGAGTTTCTTAACCCCTTTTTAATATTTTATTATTAAAGACAGAGTCTTGCTGAGTTGCTTAAGGCCTCACTAAATTGTGAGATTGGTTCTGAAGTCCTGATCCGCCTGCCTCAGCCTCCCAAGCAGCTGGGATTACAGGCATGCACCACCGTGTCTGGCTGACATTACTATTATTTACAGCACTCAGGAAGGAAAAATATACTGATTATTTCCATTAGTTACAAATCCAAGCCAAGGACTTTCCCATTTCTTAAAATCAATTGTTATGTCCCCACCATTTTTATATCCTATTTTGTTTTCCCCCTGTAAGCCATGCATTTGTTCACTCTTCCAATAAATTTATTTAAAAATATTTGTTGATTGTCTCCTATGTCCTTCCTAATCTACGTTCAATAAACGTGCACAAGGCACACAGAAGCAATAGACCCAGATATTCTAGACTGTTCCATTCCATTAATCAAGCTACTAATCTACCCTCTCAGCCTAAATGTTGATCAGGCAAGAACTACCCTCCTCCAAGAAAAGATGCACTAGTTACTAGATCAAGACTGGAGTCTACAGTAGTGAATAAGACACAGACTCTGCCTTCCTGAAACTTCCAGTCAACTGAAGGAGATTGAAGTTAGGCAATGATGACAGATGAGATGAACATTTTAAGATAACAGGTTCAAAGTGCTAAGGTAATGGAAAATGGGTGTGCTGCCTAGTGTTGAGGGGAGGAGCTTAGGACAGTCTCTTGAAAAGCCTCATTCCCCATCCCCACAGACATGACAGTGAGCTCAGTACCTTTCACTTATGAGATCAAGGGAGGAAAAATAAATGTCATAACGTAGCAATTTCTAATCAAAACAATATAAATGACCAAATTTATTCATCAAGCTCTACTTCTCTAATTTCAATATGACACACCCACATGCATGCCTCAAAGTTAGCTCTAATTATTTATATTAGCTGTGTTTATTGATCAAACTGCTTGAAAAGCTCTTTCTCTAAGTGTTGTATTATAAACATTCCCAGCGTATTGACATCCTCAAAACAAATAATGCATATCAAACATTGATGTTAACATCAATTATTTGGAAATTTATTGGAGTTATTTATTTATTGAATATAGTGAATACTGGTTACTTTTTTTTTCTTTTCTTCTTTTCATTCAGGGTCTAACTATGTTGCCTAGGCTAGTGTCCAACTCTGTGTGGTCAAGTGATCTTCTGATCTTGACTCCCAAGTAGCCAGAAACACAGGCATGAGCTACCATACCTGGCTATGAGTACAAATTTTTAAATAGTCTCTATCAATAATAGTACAGGAATAAATACTATTTATATAAATCACTTTGAAATCTGCCATTTAAATTCTAGTAGTCTCCCCCACTGTCCTACTGCACCACTATGCCAAAGACATAGCTGCTAAAGGTTTTCTGTTCAGGAAGTTTCAATGGAATATGCTAAGAAGTATTCCAGCTATTGGTTTTTAATATTCTTTACCATGATGAGGAAGTGTTGTTGTTTTTATATTTTTTTATCTATAAAGTTTTCTTTAATAGGTTAGAGAACTAATGAGATAGTATGGTTGTAAATAAACACAGTGTGTGTGTGTGTGTGTGTGTGTGTGTTTTATTAATAACAGAGTCCAGTCTCAATCAATACAGATAAGAATGGATGCTTTGGAAATACCTAACTTTGTGACCTTGAATCAGTGACATTAACCTTTCTTAGTTTTCAATGATTGAAAAAGAGTGAGTCTCTGCCACAGGCATGATATTAAATGCTAGGTCTTTGATTGCTCTATGACTTGGGTCAGGAGGTCAGGGGGGGTGAAGTGGCAGATGAAACTGCTACAAAGGTATTAAACTGTATAGGTGTAAACCTTTAACAGAATTTCTGGAACTTGTGATGAAACAGTTTTTTCTTTGAAATTAAATAAATGAATGAGTCTCTGTAACTCAGATGAGGATTGCACACAGGAGTTCATTTAAACACCATCTTCTTATCGAATTCTCAAGTTAAAGTCCTCACACCCTCCCCACACACTTCAAAAACTAATACTTAAAATTTTTGGAATTCTAAAACATTAAAAAGCTCTTTTAGAATCTAAAGGAAATGACAAATAAATCTCTGGCTCACATTTGATATTTCTCCATATAACTGACTTAGAAATCAGGATCAATTTGGGTTATGTTCCTGGTAACTTTTCTTTACCCTTTTATAACTTCCCATAGTACATTAACTTTATATAAATGTGATTTTCAGGTGGATTTTATGCTTTTCATCTGTAAACTATTGTTATATTTTTTCTTTACTCTTTTTCTCGTTTCTACAGTTATGCAACAAGTATGCATGACACTGTCTCAAGCTCACACAGCCACAGACTTGCTATCTTTTTAATATCCATATGCCTTGGTACTTGATACTTTCTACTCTTGATTTGATATCATGGAATAAAGACTTCCCCTAATCCATTCGGTAAATGAGAGTGATGCGTATGTGTGTGTGTGTGTGTTATTAATAATGAACATTAAAAAACTAATGAATACAAGCAAAATTTAAATATTTGCTGTTTTGTATTAAATATGTTTTTACTTTCTATCATGTTCTTATTCTCCATTTGCTGGTTATTTTGTTGTTGTTTCAACAACAGTGTACTTTAACACTGAACTATATCTCCCTTGTATTTTTTTTTTTTATTTTGAGACAGGGACTCCTTAAGTTGCAAAGGCTTTTGCTAAATTTCTGAGCCTGACTTCAAACTTGTGATCTTCCTGCCTCAGTCTCCTGAATTGATGGGATTATATGTATGCACCGCCACACATGGCTAATTGCTGGTATGTTTTGATAATAAAATTTACAGGCAAGTTTATAAAAGCCAAAAGTCCAATTATTTGCTGAGAATGCACACAAATGTCAAAATGTCCTCAATAATTTGACTTAAATGTAACATATAGACTATTCCTATATCACAAGAAGTGTTCACTCAAAGAGAATTCCTTTAAAAGTAATGATATGAATGAATGCAGTTGTTCCGTTCAGTTACCCAGTGACTTCAGTTTTAATTATGGGATGTTCCAATCCTTGAGACTAAGCACCAAACTAGATAGTCTATTTCTAAAACATCAATTGTTCTCAAAGCAGAGCCTATCTCACAGAAGCAAGAAGATTGTGGGAAAAGATCTTTAAAATCCTGCCTTCCCCTCTAGGAATTTTGTGTCAGCCTCCAGGAAATTAGGGAATAGATGCAAGAATTCTCTGGTATGAGTACTTCTCAAGGAAGTGTACAAGAATGTTTTCTCTCTCTCTCTCTCTCTCTCTCTCTCTCTCTCTCTCTCTCTCTCTCTCTTTTGTAATAGAGAACGAACCCAGGGTTTCTGTACCCATAATCTACATCCCTAACCTTTTTACTATAATCTGAGATAGGATACCACCATATCTGGCTACTATCTCTTTTTATGAACATCAGTAAGTTCACATTTTCCCCCTTAATTTGTCTTCTTACTTATACCTGAGGGAAACAGGTATAGCAATAAATAAAAATATTTAGAGGATACCAAAACTGTAACTGTTCCCTAAAATATAAAAAGTACAAATACCCACATAATACTTAATCTAATCTTTACATGATATGATTTACCTAATAATATCGGCATAAAATTCTATTATCCCTACTAATATTGGTTGATAACAATGTTTAACCCAAGGAATCACCAAAATTATATTAACTCAACTTCTTAAAATGTTTCAATGAAACTCCGTGTAAAATATTAGAAGGAACTGACCAATATTTATAGGGTGCACGGCAAGAAGTACTATTCAATCAGAAGAATTTTATTTAACAATTTTACCTGTGTGTAAGCCTCCGGTGACTAATGCAGACTGCAGTCTGAGAATCTTGAGTAATGCATACTTTATGGCGACTACATTTCATCTTTAAGCAGGGATCTTTAGCTGGATCTAAAGCTGAAAAAGAGAGAAAGAGATGGAGAGACTGTTCAGGAAATATTACAATAAATTTCTATAAAATAGAGGTATCCAATCTCATCAAACATAATTTTACCAAGTAATTTTATAGCATTTAGCTGTAAATTTTCTTCACATTTTTCCTCTATTAAGAGATACTTCTATTTCTACCCACATAACTCAGATAGTGGGTAACAGCTACACTTCAGGCTCATCTAGGCTATTCAGGAACTAAAATGCACATACCACTATGATCGGAAAATGTATAACTAGAATAGGAAATTTAAGATAACTCTCTTTATTTTCTGCTATCATTACAGCAATAAAGGAGAAGAATAAAACTACAGAATGTTACTGCAATACTTTATGTCAGTGGAGAATTACATTAAACTTCTCCTTTCCCTAGATAGAATCTAGTGGTTATAGAAAAAGTATAAAATCCAAAGATGATGTTGAATCCAAGGAAAGTCTCTAACTGTACTTTGGACTGACTGAATGTATCATGATAAAAATTCAGATGTTGCATTTAAGTTTAGGTTGTTTTTGCATAATATCTGACATTCTATTTATTTAAGTAAACTCTGTCCTGGTAGTTGCAAAAGATTATGTGATAGGTTTTTCAGTCTAAAAACTTCATTGACATGTGTTGTACCTAGTATACACCTCATTAATTTAAAGTTTACAATCAATGTTTAAAGTTTACAATCAATGATTATCAGCACATTCATTATTTTAAAGCTCACATCACAATTTTTAAATATTTCCATCACCAAGAAAACCTAAACGTGTCCTGTGTTTATCACCCCAACTTTCCCGTAATTAGTACTGGATAATCATTAATCTAGTTTTTGTCTCTGTAGTTTCCCTATTCTGGACAATTCATATAAGTTGAATAATAAATTATATGGCCTTTTATGATTGACTTCATTGCCATGAGATAATGTTTCTGAGGTTGAATGATATTGTAGCATTAAACATTACTTCATTTCTTTATATAGCTGAATAATATTGCATTACATGGATATACCACATTTAATTATCTATTCACTAGGAGATGAGCATTTGAATTATGTCAAACTCTTGGCTACTGTGAATAGTGCTGATTTAGATAATCATCACTGAAAAAGTTGGAAGATGGCCAGAAGGAAAGTAGGTACAGATAAGTAAAGGACACTGGATATCCAGTTTTGGTACATGTCAAAATTCAGAGAAAGAAATGCTGAAAGATGGTCAACAAAAGATTCTAGCATCTGAAGAAAATTGGAGCCAGGGTGACCAGAACAATGTACACTTGGGATACACAAAAATATCCGGGAAGCCTGTGGACTCTCCACTGGACATGGAATGTGGATTTGACTCAAACATTTTCAGCTTTTAAACCTAGGATAAATTCAAGCTGACATCTGTTGTACAACCTAATTAAGATTACATTTATTAATATGTTAAGTCTTGGGCATATTTAGTCAATAACAATTTAAATAAATGTATATGTTCTGTTCATTGATTAATTCAATAAAATATGGAAATAAACTATACATATATATGAATATATATATATATATTTATACCTTAAATATATACAAAGTATAATACATATATATTTATACCTTAAATATATAAAATAAATTTCTATAAAATTCTTACTCAAGATTTCAAATAAGCATGAGATTTAAAATAAAGCATATTTATACATACAATTCATTAAAATTAACAAGTAGACATATTTATTATATTATAATGAATATTCAAGACATTAATTGCATTTATTTAGAACATAAATATTTTAATTTCTTCCATTACAAAGAAAGGCTTTTTCAATGAGCAATTGTTAGATCAACTACATTTTTTTCTCAGTTTCTAAGAAGCTTCAACTATTGAGGTAAAGTATTTTATTCCTTATAAAATGTGAAATATATTTTTCACTATGCAAATTAAAATTGCTATCATATTTTTATTATACTGACATAGTTTAAATTATCAATGATTTAAAATTATCTGATCAAATTGCTTTACTTGAAAACTGTATGAATCCTTGTTTGGACAACATAAAAGAAAACTACACAACAATTTAGCATTAAACATGTTTGAAGCCACGTTAGCTATAATTCTTAATCTGTTTTGATTTCTAATTATCAAAATTACTTTTTAAAATTTCTTAAAATTGAATTTTATTATCATAATTATATTCCTCTCTACTGTATATACCTATATTATCTGCTCATTTTTGTAAATTTGTATTTTAGATGAACATGCATCAGTCTTAAGTGTTTATGATGTTCACTGTGAAATTTAAATACATGAATAAAGTGTTCACTAATCATATCACACCTTCTGTTTTCCATCCTCCTCTCCTGCCTTCCAGTCTCTAATTATCACTATTCTATATTCAGACCACTTTTTTTTTAAACTTGTACATGTGAGACAGAACATGGAATATGTGTCTTTCATGTCTGCCTAGCTTATTTCATTTAACCTAGTGTTGTCCAAGTTCACCCATTTTGCTGTAAAGAACAGGATTTCATTATTCCTTACAGGTGAATAATATACTATTATGTCAATCTACCATGTTTTCTTTGTCCATTCATTTGCTGAAGGGCACTTTGTTTGATCCATGTATTAGTTATTATAAATAGTGCCACAATATATATGAGCATGTAGGTGTTTCTCTTATATGCTAATTTTATTTCCTTTATACATACACTCAGAAGTGGGAAAGTCAGATCATATGGTAGTTCTGATTTTAGTTTATCTACTTTTGGTAACCTCCAGAGTCTTCTCCATAACCTTTGTGCTAATCTACATTTTCAACAACAGTGTATGAAAGTTCCTTTTTCTCCACATCTTCACTAACATTTGTTATTTTTATTTAAGAATAACCATCATATCATGGGTAAGATGATATCTCATTATAGTTTTGCTCTGAAATTTGAATATGTTTAATATATAGAATATTTTATTTTGAATAGCATGCATTTTTATTTTCAATAAAACACTACATTACATACAAAACTATCATGAAGCCAGATGTGGTGGTACACGTCTGTAAAATCAGTGACTCAGGGAACTGGGGCAGGATGATCACAAATTTGAGGTCAGCATTTGCAATTTAGCAACATCCTACCTCAAAATTAAAAAACAAAACATCTGGGGTATAGCTCAGTGGTCTAGTGCCCTTAGGTTCTATTCCCACAGAGTAAAAGATCAATCAATCAAGCAATCTATCACGACTTATCTAATGTAATTATACTTTGAATATAGCTTGTTAATATTCTAGTTTTTCTTCCAGTTTTCATTTATTTATAATCTAGATTAGATAATATTTAAAAGTTCCACACCACTTCTTATATTATATCTGCTTAAGAAGAGAAATCGGAACTCAAAAATTACACAGCAAGAATGGAATTGTTAACACAAATTTAAAACATGAAAAATAATTTAATGAGAAAGTTTTGCACAGAATTCTATATAAAAAATCAAATAAGATAATAGCAGTATTTTTAGGAGATGTAAAATATAATGGTAGAAAATAAAAATTAGAAAGAATTCATAAGAAGGAGAAGACCCCTTTCTGTGCATGTGAATTTAACCATCTGTATTTTTTGTAGAACTCACATTGTTGGCAGCTTAAAAACTACAAAACATCACACTCTGTAAATACAGATGCTTAAGATTTTACTCTTGAAATTACAACAATAACACAACCACATTATCTTTGGCTCAAAGCCCATGAATCAGAATCAGTCCTGTGCCTTCAAAAGGACTGGCATAATTTCATCACATCACTCCATTACTATCCTGTTCTTTCCATCATTTTCAATTTTAAAATCATTCTCTTATTCTACCTGCATTGCTGACCAGCTTTCTCTCAAGCATCCAGTAAAATGTCCTTGAGAAAGATTTTAACTAGTGCATTTGAGTTCACATGATCATGTTCTTTTCTGCCTCCTAATTTTATTTTTTTGTACCAAGGATTGGACTCAGAAACACTTAACCACTGAACCACATCCCCAGCCTTTTATTTACTTATTTATTTATTTATTTTTTTTTATTTTCAGAAAGGCTCTTGCTAAATTGACTGGGGCCTCCTCAAGTTGCTGAGATTGGCTTTGGAACTTGTGATTCTCCTGCCTCAGCCTCCCGGGTTGCTTGGATTACGCCAATACACTGAGCTTTAGTAATCATTTGATTGACATTAAGTAACTTAGAGAACTAAATGGATAAGGTTTTTCTTACTTCCTTGTTTCCAGAAAACACGGTCTGTATTTTCAAAGGATCACTTTATAATTTAACCTTTGAGCTTTATTGCATTTGTAATATAGGATTTCACTCACTCTTGCCATAATAATTGGTTTTTGGTCCAGTATCATCCACTTACTGCTAGATGAAATAAGTTAGGACATGTCTGGCCTGATCCAGCAGCTAAGGGTGAAAGTGCCTGAGTGAGCAAGGGTAGGTGAGGGCAGAAAACAAATGTGACTGAGGTAGATATGTTAGTAAGAGAAGATCGAAATAAAGACACAAACAGATCCCAGGTCATAAAAACAAACATACATGGCAATTTTTCTATTTTGAGTTGAGAGCCGAACCCAGTACTTCACATGTGCTAAGCATAAACTCTACCACTGAACTATAGCCCAAGTGCCAGGATGATAATTTATGATAAGTCACTAAATTCCCAAGATAGCAAAAGAATTTTCCTTGATGCCATTGATCTTAAGAGAAGAAAAGGAGAAATGTGGCATCACTAAGCTTCAAAAATAAGCATCAAAGTTAGTATTGAGAACTGAAATAAATCTTAGCAGGTATAGTTTGGGTATGAAGTGTCCTCTAAAAATCCCTGTGTCAATGCAGAAATGTTCAGATGCATAAATGATTAGATTCCATAAGATAAAACCTAATCAGTCCATCTAGTTTACAGGGAATGACTGGGTAGTAAGTGTAGGCAGGTGGAATATGGATCAAGGATTTCATTCACTGGGGACATGGTCTGGAAGGCTTCA